CAGAAAGTTCTTCGTGAATCTCATATAATTTTGTCATGATAACATAGGAATTATCTGAAAATAGGGAGCATCGGATTCTTGCCAATGGCTTGAAGCTGGACACTAAATTAGTGGTCGGCACTCGGCAGCAGGCAGGGATGGAAACAAACAGAAATTGTAGGAAAGTCAATTCCTTAGAATACGAATACTTGATGTCATGCCTGAAATTCTAGCAGATGAAACGTTTTTTTTTGTTTCTGACGTCGTATTTCATTGACTTCTGTTCATGAATGTAGGAAAGACCTGATCCTGAAACGAATGAGTGTTGGGTAAAACGGCACATTCAGAAAGTGTGAAATGGGACAGTGTTTTCCTTGTTCTCTTTTGGTTCAAAATGATAATATAAAATTGCATACGACATGACAGAAGGCTGTAGCTGAAACTTGAAGTTGATTCAATCACGAATGTCAAGCAGGATCCGATACACATTCAGTGGGGTTCTTCTTGTCCACATTTAGATATATTACAATTATACTTCTCTACTACTATATGTACCGACTTGATGACAGGATTGACGCGTTCGAATAGACGACATGCGACTCATCGACGACAAATTCTATATCATGGCATACATAATGAAAAACATGCCTTCAGATATACCTTTGCTTGCCCGACAACGTAGTCAGCCACCGAAGCTGATGTAGTTCTTATGGTTCTATCCTTTTCTTTATAAATAGAAAAACGGTCTTGGTATTTTCTCCCTAATTGTATATGAATCAGCCTGGTTTATTGACCCGAGGAAGCCAGTTTACCGATGGATGTCACTCTTGGAACCAATCTGTGAAATTACACACAAGAAACAGTAACGTTAAGTTTCAATACCAACAAAGATTTAAAATTGACCCGATGAGGTTAAGTTGAGAGATAACTGTATTCGTTTTATCCTACGGTACACGCTACGGTGCACACCACCAGAACCGCAGAGCAGGATCAGTAAAATGGAAAGCATTAGTATCTCTACCAGAACTAAGTATTGTTCCTCAACTTAAAAGTCGAGTATGAGATTGCAATTACAGTTTTATACATATGACCAAGTATGATTTAAGATGATTGGCGTAAAAAGTTCCATGTTGGGTCGTAATCAAACTACATGCAGTCGAAAACAAGGAAACAAGTAAAAAGGAAATACCTTATCAAGAGGGCTTTTTGAAGTTCTCTGTCCATGATAAAAACCAGGCAGGGGTGTAGCTTTAAAATTAAGGCTCTGCCTTAACTTTCTGATCTCTGCATCTCTATTATCCTGCGACAATCATATAGTGTTCAGCAATGCATGTCTTCTAAATTAGGAAATCATATGCCAGTAAGTATACGGGAGATGACGTTTTCTTTATCTTAGAATCCGACAACCAACAGCCTGTCAGATATCTCTATTATGTTTGATTCATTACAATACTTAACGAGCATGTGGAACTATATAGAGTGGATGGAAAGACATCCTCAACAAAGAAAATTAATGGTACCTTCGCTTTTGTCTGGAGATATCTTCTCACTGCTTCCCCATCGTTGGATTTTCCTTCCGGTTTCTTGGAGAACTGAAATAAAGGATATGAGACGTCGAGATTCTAGTTAATGACGAACAATGTGAATCCATATCAAAACAAATCGTGCATGTGTTACAAATGGGAAGAGAAGGGAGGAGCATCATTGCATACCTCCTTTTTCCACTCGGCTCTTTCATCACTTTTCAAGCCAGAATAAGATGGAGCAGCCTTAGCATTCTTTTTCTCCATGCTACCGACTTTAGAAGACCTGTTTCAAATCAATTAATGCAACAATGAAGAAATCTCGGGACGATGGACGCTTCAGGCACATGCAAAACTTCTGCTTATAATTATCGGAAGTAATATTTTAAGAACTATTTTGTGAAGTCGAGAAAACGATAGCATGAACTTTTAACCCAGGAAAGTTCATGTGGACCTGGCAACTTAAGGCCATGAAGAAGCAAATTGTACTTGAAATAAATGACTTCTCAAACAACAATGTTCCTTTAAAGCGGTATGATTGGCTACATATCAGTGACCCAACAATTAAAAACTTGTTAATTGTTCAGTCCTCACTTCTTTTCTTTTTGCCTTTTCTACTTTTTCAGCCTAAAAAAAAAGAAAGATGCAGAAAAAAGGGATCAGACAGAAATGACAAAAAGCTTGGTAATGATATGATAATAAGTGCTTCAGCTGGGGCAAAAAAAAAGGGAAACACTAGCCAACTTATGTACACACATATTTGAGTCCTCACATGCTCAAAGATAGCTTTTTCATATTTTGACACTCATTAACCAATTACTATCAGTTTTAACAGAACTACTTAAGCTTCCAAAACTTGTCTAATGCGAATGTCGATCGATGATGACAAATACCATGTTGTATGAAAAAGTTCAGCAGATACTGATACATTGTTTATATCCAAAGATCAAATCCATATCAGGACTCAACTAGCATGCAAATCCACTGATGCAAGTATGTATGCATTAGTCATCTTTTGATTTAGAAGTTTACCCTCCATTCTCCTTTTGCGGAGTCGTCAAAGTGGGAACCCTTGATTCTCTTCCCTTGGCAGGCGCCTGCAAGAAAAATCGAAACAAAAGATGCATGAATGTGAATTTATGTAGTAATAGAAATGTCAGGTAGATCTTAAGGATTAAAATTCTAAAATGACAACATAATACCGGTTTTGCTGCTGCAGATTGTTCTTGACAGGAAGGTTTCAATCGGTTATTATTACTCTGAAACGTCTTAAATGCTCGCTTAACAATGTCCTTATCTCCCATTTTCTCCATAAATAAAGATTTCCTTGTTGCAGGAAGGGAAGCCGGGTCAGGGCTTGAGGGATCTACCCTAAGGGACATGTGCAAGGATCTAGGAGCCACTTTCTTGCTTTGTACCACAGAAGAATTCTTGATCTTGGTGGAAGAATAAGATAATGCAGTTCCTCTTTTTGATTGACTTCTCGAAGCAGACATCGTGATAGGAGTTAATGTTGTCTTTGATGCTCTAGATGTAGAAAGTTGTGGTGTTAAAGTCACAGGTGAGGCAGGTTTCTTCTTCATCCTCGAATCGTTCCTCTCCTTATTCAATGCTGTGATCTAGACAAGCAAGCACAATAAATTCACTTGAGTCGAGCTTTTCCAAAACACAAATTGACTAAAAAAGGACATTGTGATGATGATGGTAAACTAACCTTATGAGATTTTGCAGATTGACCCAATTTCAAGTTTTTATCTTTGATCTCGGGAGTGGTTTCGACGGCATTTTCCGATCTCGATGATAACTCCACAACATCTTGAGACCCCTTTGAAGGAGTTTCCATTTCCTTCTTCACCAAAAAGGCTTTTTCTTCAGGAGAAGTTTCTTCCGGTTCATTTAAGACAGGAACTTTAACTAAGCTCCCCATTGTTTCTTGTTTCTCTTCATTTTCCACCATGCCATTTATTCTCTCGTTCAATTCCTCAACCCATGAATCTTGACATTTTGTAGCAATTTCAGTCTCCTGAACATCATTAACCTCACTTAACAAGCAAATTTCTTGCTTATCGCCTTCATCGCCTTCCGATTTACGAGTCGGATCTCTTTCATCAGACCTCTCTTGAGCCAGTAGCTCAGCTTTCCTTGCAGCAATCTTCTTGTAATGTTCTTCGAAGTAAGCTTTTTTCTGAGCAACCGAACCCGGAGTTGCACATTTCTCGACCTCTTCCAAGTACTTGTTTGGGGAGAAAGTCGACCATTTTTCCCAAGAAAGTGAATCATTCTCAAATCTACCAAAAGAAACCGACACTTCAAGAGCTGGATTTGAAGAACCCATTGCCTTTATCTATTCACGTTAAAAAAAACACCCAAATTGAGAGCATTTTCTGAAGGAACAAACAGAATTTAAGCAATTATGAAGTACAAAACTAAATCAACAACCCAATAATAACAAAACAAAATTAAATCCAAGCAACAATAATGGAAGAAGGTTAATTAAAAACCAAAAGTACTAAGTGTAGTACCTTAAATTCTTTACTTGAAGCCATCAAATTCTATAAAAAAGCACACAAAGAAAACTTCAAGCTCACAAAGCTAACACATCAAGCCCGGCAGCTGGCTTCATTTGTCCATGTCCATTGGATCACTAAAAAAGAACCCAAAGAAGAAGCAACTCAGTATAAAGACAAGAGAAGCCTGGAAAAAATTGAAAACCAAATATGACACTTAAAAGAAAACCAATAATGGAAGGCATGTGGTCGTGTCTGTGTATGATTTAAGTTCTCATATTAAAAATGAAAAACTGTCTCTTTCTAGTACTTGTGGAAAGTACCAAATAGGAAAAAGAAAAAAGAAAAAAAACTCAATCATCAAATCAAAAACAAAAGAACCCAAAGATTATTTACCTTTGAAACTTGTTAATATCATATTATCATGAGTAATTACTGTGGGAAAAGAGTTGTTTTTAAGGTAGAGATATGACACTTTGGATAAAAGGTTAATTGGGACGATAATGAAAGCTTGAAGCCTGAAGGAAAAGTTGGGTTCATTGAGTAAAAAGAAAGTGGAGATCTAACTACAGAATCGGGACAATAATTTTAATAATGGTAACCGGAAAACAATTGAGTCAAAATCAGGGAGAAAAGAGGGTGATGATGAGAAGATGGTTGGGATTTGAAACAGTGGATATGAGTATAAGAGAAGGGTCCACATTGGAAAGTAGTGAAGTAAAAGAGATAAGGAAACCAGCCACTTGCTTTGCTGAATTAAATATCACACAACTCACTAAATCAAACTTAAAGGAGACTTGTGGTTGTTGTGGTGGCGGTGGTGGGATTTGGACCTTTGATATTTCAGTTTCGTTTAATTAAAAAGATAATGAAAACTATTGCCTTGCTCCCGCTACATTAATCACCATTCTTTTTCATATTTGTTTTTATAGCTTGTTGTAATTCAAATTTTATAAAACAAAGTAAAGGGATTGATCTCAAAATTATATATAAAATTGGATTTAATATATAATACAATACATGAATTTTGGGTTGCTATAATCGTGTAAATGAAATTTTAATTTAATTTTACAATTGAAAATATAAAACCGTTTTCACTTATTGTATATGTTTATAATGAGATATGATCCTTTTATATTTACAATTGAAATTTTTGACATCCCTTTAACTATCAGTTTTAGAGTTTTCTCTTATCGGTACACCAATCATTCTTTTTTTATCTTTATTGATCGATGACGACACCAATTTTAATATTAATTGTTAATCCTCGATATTCTTTATTGCTATAAAACTACTTGTATGACACACTTTTATCTGCCTTTATGGCATATTTTTCTTTTGTCTTTATGATACGTTTTCTTCCGCCTTTTGTATGTTTTTTTGGTCGTTAGACCATTGTTTTCACTTATCTTTTTTTCTAAGGGTTGATTTGACATTATCGCGATTGATCAAGATGACGCTTATCTGTTATATTGTTGATCTTCCCTATTTTGAACCATCAGATTGAATTTGGATACTCGTAAGGAACTTAGGATTCATGGATATTTTTTCACAAGTCTGATTTGTAGTTTGATTCCTTTTTGTACTTCGTTTGAAGATGCGATCATATATGTTTTGTATTTATTTGTGTTCGAGTTTCTTGGTTAGATTTTAACATTTCCTTGTATGGTCCTTATGTGATCTTAAGTTATTTGTTTTGTTTCAATTATTATAGGAAATTGTCCTAATCATATGCTTAGTTTATGATTATGATTGTAAATCTTTATTGTAATTGAAATATTTCTTATATTGAATAAAATTAGTGGCTTCTATAAAAAAAATCTTTTAATTTTTCAAAGATTTATAATCGTTATATCAGTGAAAATATATTACTGAGTTTAACAATAAAAATGAGAAGATATTTCTCCAAAAAAATTACTGAGTTAACCTCATTAATCTATTTTCGCTCATCTAATAATCTTAATTTTATGTTCTGTTTGATATCCTACTTGTTCTCGTGTTTCTATTCTTCTACCCCAACTATTTGTTTGGTAAACGTATATCTAACATTACGTTTTGTTTCTATTTTAGAACTATGTCGTTAATTTTGACTATTCACTTAATGAAGATAATGATATAATTGGTATAATAATAATTTTAATCTCTAAAATTTATATAGTATTGAAATTTGTTCTTAATTCAAAATAATTCAATGGTTTTATAGTTTTAGTTTAAAATAATTAAATGAACTTAACCTTCGATAAGATCAATATTGATTTAAAATTAACGAAGGGTTTGAACTGGTAAAGGTTAGAACTTGGAAGTATTAGCCAATGCTTAATCATTCGACTTCAGTCTTTATTAAGTTTGCAATCGAGCTCAAACTCTTCACTAGCTCGGCCAACTCTACTGTTCTATGTAAAATTACAACTTTACCATTTATATAAAATTTTACGTTAGATCCGTGATTTTAACATTAAAAAATAATATTGTAATGACATGAATTAATTTATCTCAGTGATTAAAGGAATATAGTTGAAAACATGAATGGTGGGTGATGTGCTATCCGGTGAATTTGGAACATATATAACCCATGCCATGGTCCCTAGGGGCTCTCTAACTTGCCTTGTTTCTTTCTCCTCCAATGCCTCTTAAGCTACTCAATCTACGCTTCCACGTACTATCACTGCCTCAAAATCCACTATATATATCTGCTTCTTCAAACTCACATAATGTAACAAACTTCACCATGAATACCTCCTCTTTGTTTCTTCAAATATTCCTCTCTCTAACTCTCCTAACGGGTCTAGCTAAACCCGACCCGGACCCACTCCAAGACTACTGCATTGCAGACACAAAATCCCCTCTATACCTCAATGGTGCACCCTGTCTCAACCCAATCCTAGCTTTGTCCTCTCACTTCACCACCTCAGCTCTAGCCAAACCGGGCGACACCAAGGCGAACGTGTTCGGATTCAGTGTCACCCTCACCACCCTTGCTAATTTGCCCGGGATCAACACAATGGGCATAACCATGGCTCGCGTCGACATAGCCGGTAACGGACTCGTTCCGCCGCATTCGCACCCTCGGGCCTCGGAGGTCACCATTTGTCTCCAGGGTGTTATTCTAGTGGGCTTTGTGGATACCTCTAATCATCTCTTCACTCAGAGGCTTGAGCCCGGTGACTCGTTCGTTTTCCCCAAAGGACTGATCCATTTTCTTTACAACACGGACTTGAGGAAACCGGCTTTGGCTATTTCGGGCCTGAGTAGCCAAAACCCGGGCGCACAAATAGCTTCAAGGGCCGCTTTCGCGTCGAGTCCGCCCATTCCTGATGTGGTATTGGAAAAGGCGTTTCAAATCAGTCCACAGGATGTTGCCAAGATTCGTAAAAACCTTGGCGGTTGATTTATGTTTGCCTGCCTCAATATTCATTTCTTTCTGGTCATGTAGGAAAACGGGTAGTTGAAGTCTTCACTCCCATAAAAATAGACCCATCAACGGTCGTCTAAAGTTGTTTGTTTATTATGGTTGCTTGTTAAGACAGTCTAACAAATAAATTTACAATTCCATTATAGACAAATTCATCTTCTTCGTCTGTATTATGAAATATTCCGGAAATCTCCATGTGACGTTTCATTCTAGGAATATTCGAGTTAAAAAAATTTAAGTTAGTTGAAGGGATGAATTGATTAAAATCCATCTTGTAGTTGACGTTAGTTTACACGGAGAATCTCAAATGCTCAAGACTCTGTGTTGGACCGACACGCATGCAAAAGAAACTAGTAGATGAGTCTAACGTCAAATGAGAAGGAGATACATGTCTTACTTTGGAACGTGACTTGAAAAAGGATTGCTTTCACTAATAAAGGTAATCTTCATTTATGAACTCTAATACCGATGTGTAATCATTTCATACGTTGACTTAACATTGAGGGGATCAAAAGTGTTATTACACCGAGTTCATAAGAAATTCCTGGTAAAAAGAGTGCGTCCCGTGAACGAAAGCGAAATTTGAGAAAACAATGAACAACTAAACGTTATTCCTTTCCAAGGAATGTTGTCTTCCCCAATTACATAACCAAAAATTGTTCCAATAACCATGGAATGAACGGAAGGAATTAATACCCATATGCAGAGCTGAGAGCACAAAAGAATAACCCAGAAGGAAAAAAAGAAATCAAATCTGTATACAGCTCCGTAACAATGTAAAGAAGAAAGAAAAGAATCATAACAAATAACTAGAAAATCCCAAGAATATGGAAGAAGAAAAAGAAGACTGATCTTTGATTAAACTTCCCTTGTAAAGATCGTAGGGTTTCCAGAGATGATCGAGAGGACATGGGGTTCTGGCATCGAGTCGAACCCAGGGCTTCCCTTTCCCACTCCAATGCAACAGACTCACCGGACCGGTATGCAACACCCGACAAGAACCTCGTACATTGTCGCCGCCGAGGCCATGTTGGTTCCATCTGTGATGGATGGCTTCCACATTCCCGGCAAATACGAGCAGAAACGGCGGCAACGAACCCAAGTCGTAAATCCTTCGTTTCCTCTGAATTTCCATCCAATTCTCTATTCTTTTCCTGTAGTTCCCTTCTCTCCACCGGACTAAATCCATCACCATGACCCCCGTGTTGAAATAACACGGCTTCCTCGAATGGAATACCCGGGAAATCACCGGGTCGGACCAGAACGCGTCCGTGAAATACTTCGTGAAGTTGGCGTGGCAGTACTCGGGTGCGCCAATCACATGTGACTTTGTCAGGGTCGTGTTCCAGAGTTTGTGAATGTCGTCGACGACGACCAGGTCCGAGTCGAGATAAATGACTCGGTCAACGCAGAGATCAAGGATGTCTCCGAGGTAGTTCCGGGCGTAGTTGAGTGGGTTCTCGAGGGCTTGACGGATTGAAGAAGAGATTAAGTTGATTACCGTGTCTTCCCTGAAGATGTAGATCTTGAAGTTGAGTGATGGGAACGTGGATCGGACGAGTTTGCTCAAGACTCTCGGACTCGCCGGGTCGAACTCGGCGGCAATGAAGTGAAAGAAGACGTTTTCGGGGCACGAAGCATGCCGGAGGACGGAGTGGACGGCGGCGATTGATCCACGCAAGTACTCGGAGTCCAGCGTCATCGCCACGTGGACCAAATCCGGATCGCAAGACGAAACCACTTCTTTGTTGGCAGAAACAGGACATTCCACCCCGTTACGGTATTCCGGTGCCTCCGAGAACTCGAACCCGGACCCATCTCCCCCTCCGATGGTCCGAATCCCGTCGCAAAATGTCGCCGTTAGCGAGAAATGAAGAAGCAAAACGGCGGCGACATAGAAAACGGAACGCATTATCTTTTTTCCAAAAAACAGGACAAGAAAAAGACAGACGAGTGTGTTCTGTTCAAGTTTTAGCTTTCACTTCCGAGTTCCTTTGACAAAGAAATTTCAGATGATTGGCAATTCGGTGAAAGGGAAAACGAGAAAGAAAGTGATGCTCGTAAAGATTAAGCAACAGAGCTTCCAAGTTTCAAGACTTTGGGTTAATCAACACGGTTTTCGCTGGTTATTATTTTGGGTTTCATTCAAAGCGAAACGCGGTTTCTTGACGAATGGAAATGGAACACCAGAAAGGAAAGGAAGGGAAATAAGTGTTTGGGGGGTGGGAAAATATGTTGGATCTTTCCTGTTTTTTCCTTCTGGGAATAACAGAGGCCAGACGGACAAGATAGCTTTGGATTGTCCTTTAAATGACAAGAATAATTGTTGGTTTGAGGAAGTCGTTAATCGGATGTGAGATTTGTTTTTATTTAGTTTATATTGGATTAAATTTGTGGGTTTTTATTTTAAAATATTTTTTGTAAGTTTAAAAATATAAAAGAATTTGATTTTCATTTTAAAAACAAATTATTATTTAATAAATATAATTTCATAATGCATGCTTAAATATAATAAATATATTTCTAAACTGTTTAAATATATTTGATATTATGTTATTATTATTTGTAGAAATGGTTTTTTATCAATTAACATATCAAACAATAGTTCTTAAAAGTTTACAAACTTTTTAATTTACTAAAAACATTTTAAAATTAATATTTTATTAAAACTATTATTTGGATTAAGTACCGATGGTATAGGTCTAATTTACAAGTTATTTTTTTCAAGTTAATAATTTAATTACAAATTATTTTATAATATAAAGATCCATATATATCTCGAAATAAGTGGTTAAATGTCGAATTATCGTGACCAAATAAAAACGAACATATGCACTAGTCAATCTGAGGTAGTTTTTATTAGTGGAAGAGAACTAAAGTCTATGATCGGGTAAAGATTAACTTCACAAGTTTATCACGATCCATTCACACTTGTAGTTGTTCAAAATCGAAAGCCTATACCACTTAAAGACTAGTAAAAAAATATGTAAAAATATTAGAAAACATAGATAACTATTTAATGTGTATGAAATGAAAATTTTAAATCCACGTCATTGTATATTTTTAGTTGAATTTAAAAATAGTAGATAAAAAACAATACACAACGTTTTTTTTAATTTTATTAGTGGAGTTATTTTTTTTATAAACGATGTAATAATACTAAAGAAAAATAAGATAAATGTTAGTCCAATTATTTGACGAACTCCTATAGCATTAGTTGAATACTACATTGGTACTTTAAAATTTACTAGAAGTTTCTTTGCCATAATAAAATGTTAATTTTAGTTCATTTACTATAAAGAGAGATGTTTGATTATTATATGTGTTGGAAAAGTATATATTTAGGTTCAAAATGATATTTTATAGTTGGAATAGCTGAATGGAATAGATGAATGGAATTTCGCGGTTGTGGGTCAATTTATTGGTGCTGCTCCCAATTTCGATTCGATGCAGCGGATTATCAACTCTCTTTGGGGGAAATCTTCTCCTGTAAAGGTTAGTCTTGCCGGTGCAAATCTTTACGGTTTTTCTTTTGGGAATGCTTCTATTAGAGATTGGGTGCTTGAGAATGGACCTTGGCATGTCCAGAATAAGCCTTTGGTTTTAAGGAATTGGGAACCCTGTTTGCAGAGACTTCATTTCGATCTCTCTCATATGCCTGTGTGGGTTCAGCTCTATAATGTACCTTTGGAATTGTACTCTAGAAGTGGCCTTAGCTATATCTCTAGTGCCCTAGGCAATCCATTATACATGGATTCCATTACTACTTCTAGGGGAAGATTAGAGTATGCAAAAGTTTGTATTGAAATTTCTGTGGGGTCTGTAATACCGAATGAGGTCCAGGTAATTCTTAAGGATGGATCAACGGTGAGGGTTGGTGTCTTTATCCCTTGATTACCAAGGGCTTGCTCTATTTGTAAAACTTTTGGTCACGTGGCCAGCAGGTGTGTTGCTAGGCAGAATTCTGTGCCGAAGCAGGAGGTTCAAGTCTGGAAGAAAAATGGCACTGCTATTTCTTCCCCTTGTGATAAGTAGAAGTTGGATCCAGGTTTTTTGCCTTCTGGATCCTCAGGTAATGCCATACCTACTGCTGATGTTGTCTGTCCTAGTCCTGAATTGGTTGTTGGTATGACTGAGGAGACTTCTATGTCAGCTTTGCAAGAGGTACATGTTGGCCAAGTTCAGGAGGTTGGAAAATCTGGTACTATCATACAGGACTCTAGCAGGGAGATGTGTGATATCGCTGTAAACCTGGATGCTACTGTTGTTGATTCTGTTCGTCTGCCTAGCTCTATCCTTGCTGAGGAAATAGCTCATAAAGCTGCTGATGATTTTGATTGTTTGCCTAATTCTACCTTGGCTGAGGAAGTTGCTCATAAAGCTTTACTAGAGGATGTTGGTCCTGATTTTCCCACTCTGCAGGACTCTATGGTCCAGAAGAAAAAGGTTAGAGGTAGGAAAAAAAGAATACTGGCTCTTCCAGTAAACTTGATGTGTTGGTTGGTGGAGGTGTTGTTTATGGAAAAAGGAAGGCTAAGATAGCTTCTATGGGGGTTGTTATCCTGCTCAATGAAATTAAATCTAAGAAGAGAGATTTGGTGGATAAAGCCAAAGGTAGTGTGATTACGGGGGTTGGGGTTGGAGTTGGCCCTGCTGTTAATTGATGTTGGTTTGCTTTTGGAATGTAAGAGGGATTAATAACCCTCTTAAGCAACATAAGGTTCTGAGCAGATTAATTAACCTGGGAGCTGATGTTGTGTGTCTTTTAGAAACTAGAATTAGAAGAATCAATGCTAATAAGTTCTATTCTGCTTTTTCTGATGAATGGAATATGATAAATAACTATGCTTATTCTGAGGGTGGTAGAATATGGGTTATGTGGAGGAAACAATGGTCATTCTCTACCTTGAGGGCTAATGACCAGTCTCTAACTATTGTTGGAGTTGTTAATGGCCACAGGACTTTGATCACTGTTGTTTATGGCAATAACAACAGGGTTGCCAGGAGAGGGCTTTGGGATCATCTAAAGGATTTGGATAGTGAGGTTGGTTCCTCTCCATGGGTGGTTGGAGGGGATTT